GGTTGAGATCTGGAGACTGGCTAGGCCACTCCAGGACCTTGAAATGCTTCTTACGAAGCCACTCCTTCGTTGCCCGGGCGGTGTGTTTGGGATCATTGTCATGCTGAAAGACCCAGCCACGTTTCATCTTCAATGCCCTTGCTGATGGAAGGAGGTTGTCACTCAAAATCTCACGATACATGGCCCCATTCATTCTTTCCTTTACACGGATCAGTCGCCCTGGTCCCTTTGCAGAAAAACAGGCCCAAAGCATGATGTTTCCACCCCTATGTTTCACAGTAGGTATGGTGTTCTTTGGATGCAACTCAGCATTCTTTCTCCTCCAAACACGTCTAGTTGAGTTTTGACCAAAAAGTTCTATTTTGGTTTCATCTGACCATATGACATTCTCCCAATCCTCTTCTGGATCATCTAAATGCTCTCTAGCAAACTTCAGACGGGCCTGGACATGTACTGGCTTAAGCAGGGGGACACGTCTGGCACTGCAGGATTTGAGTCCCTGTTGGCGTAGTGTGTTACTGATGGTAGCCTTTGTTACTTTGGTCCCAGCTCTCTGCAGGTCATTGACTAGGTCCCCCCGTGTGGTTCTGGGATTTTTGCTGACCGTTCTTCTGATCATTTTGACCCCACGGGGTGAGATCTTGCGTGGAGCCCCAGATCGAGGGAGATTATCAGTGGTCTTGTATGTCTTCCATTTTCTAATAATTGCTCCCACAGTTGATTTCTTCACACCAAGCTGCTTACCTATTGCAGATTCAGTCTTCCCAGCCTGGTGCAGGTCTACAATTTTGTTTCTGGTGTCCTTTGACAGCTCTTTCGTCTTGGCCATAGTGGAGTTTGGAGTGTGACTGTTTGAGGTTGTGGACAGGTGTCTTTTATACTGATAACGAGTTCAAACACATGCCATTAATACAGTTAACAAGTGGAGGACAGAGGAGGCTCTTAAAGAAGAAGTTACAGGTCTGTGAGAGCCAGAAATCTTGTTTGTTTGTAGGTGACCAAATACTTATTTTCCACCATAATTTGCAAATAAATTCTTTGAAGATCAGACAATGTGATTCTCTGGATTTTTTTTTCTCATTTTGTCTCTCATAGTTGAGGTATACCTAGGATGAATATACCTATAAATAGTAAAACCAGAGAAACTGATAATGCTGCAGTAGTCTCTTAATTTTTGTCCAGAGCTGTATTTACTTTACTTTAATATGATATAAAAAAGAGAAAAAACTGTAGAACGTCTGACATTTGTGATAAAAAAAGAGTTAACGCTTTAAAGATAGATTTTTCAAAAATAATTGGCGATTATTTATGAGTTTCATTTTACACATTTTTTCAAAAGTGGATGGAGATTGGAGACATTTGTGCGGAGACAGGGACATGTGGAATGACTTTTTATTGCGCGATTAGTCATTTTTCAGACAACAAGGCTCCCCCAACATTTAAACAAACAGCAATGTACAAAACAACACACTTTTTTTGCCATCAACGGAAATTTTAATAAGGTAGTGAGAGTACATAACAGAAAGTAATGAAGTGTGAGGACGCGAGTTATGGTGATGTTGAGATTTGAAGGATGAGCTCGATGTCAAAGCCAAAGTAAGCACCATCGTCATGTGGTCAGGAAAGGCCATATTTCAGTAAGAAATATTCTAGAAGGGGTCAGGAGAGGTTATCATGATACAAGAGGGTTGTTATCACAGTTTTCAGACATTTTTACCAACTAAAAAAAGAACAATATCGGTGTAACACTATTTTATCATGCAATTTACTTTAGTAAACCTTCTGACACACAGACAGAATATACTTCAATAAGTAGAACTCAATACATCTCTGTCCAGCAATAGCCATAAAGCCTGTAATTTATACTCTTTGAATGTGAGATCCCTATCAAAAATAATATGCAGATTTGTATTTTTCTTAATATATCTAAAGTGCAAGTATTTATCCATTTTTATTCAATGCTTTCTGTAAGTATAAAATACAAAGGAAAAAAAACAGCAATATGTTTTTCCTGTTTATATGTTATATTTTTCTGAAAGGAGGAGCATCATATATAACAAACCATATATATATATATATATATACACACACGCCACAGATAAAATATTTTTTGAAAGATACAACATATTATCTCATATGGGGATGATAAAGGGATTTAGACCAAACGATGACATGGGATATGTTCATTGTGCATTGACCCCACCCCTTTAAAATCCAGGATCCATTTCCCAACATCTTCAAAGCATTTTTGAAAGAACGTCTTTGTTACGAAACACAACAGTAGCCTGTACAGTCTGCAAACATGATGGACCCTAACCGCTCGGTGCAAAAGGAGACGTGCTCAATGAGCCCTCTGTCAGTGGTTTGTGATGAGTCATATAGTGCTCGGCTTGGACCAGACGCTGCGATTGGCTGTGCGATAACCAAGGAACTCTGAGCGGCCAATAAAAAAAGACTACAACACGGAAACCAGAAATGGAGCAGATTTGGTTGTCTGTAACGCCTTTATGGAAGTTAAGTCTGTTTTGAAGTCAGTAGTTGTGGAAGTTTGCTGTTTTAGGTCATGTACATGAATAGTCTGTTTAAGCAAGCAGATGAAGCGCCTACAGCAGGGGTCATCATAGCAATCGGAGAACATGCAACAAGTAGCTACTGCTGCACTTAAGAGTAATATTACATGTTTCTTCTATTTCCATTAGTTGAATAAGGACTGTTACTTGTTGTTGGGGCAACAACAAACCAGCTCTTTTGAATAAAATTAAATAATACCAGACAAAAAGGCAGGATTACATTAGGGATTGCTATGATGGCTCATCTGTTTAGTAATTCAGAACATCATTCGCACACTGAACTTAGCCAGAGCCACTGAAGACAGCGCGATTTACACAGAAAATAATTATCAGCCTACCATTTTGCATTTGAGTCCCAGAAATGGATGAACGTGGGCACAGCATGGCTGCAAGGTCACTCCGGGTTTTGCCGTGACACTGAGTGAGCTCTTGTTAACTTGAGAAATCTGATTTGATCACACTGTCTTCAGCAAAAATCACGAGAGCTCCCCACTTCTCTTCCCTGTTATTCACATAGAACTACGACCCAAAATATACAGGTCATGTTATACAACCGAATCCTGAACGACTGACCCAGTAGCACCTGGCGATCACAGTCTGCAACAGCACGTCCTTAAATCTTTATAGAAATGTGCGTTTTAAATTGAGGAATTCACAATGAGAACTCTATGAGCAAGTTCATGCTCTCCTTATATTGGGACATAAGAGAAATGGATAAAAGGAGGTGTTGTATTTCCAGTCTTCATGTAGCATGAGCCTCCTGTAGGCCTCAATTCAATCAAGCTGAAGCCACACTCTGGGGAATAAGTGCTGAGTCATGACAGAGAGTGCAGCCTTATGGTGAACTCGAGATGAACTCAATGACCTCAGATGAGCATTGCTGGGTACACAGTAATAGGTGGCTCGTATGTGCGTTAAATCAAAATGGGCTCCTATAATTCACAGGGCAGTGTGAGGAAATCTTTGCATGAGGGGAAAGAGACTTCCTGTTCCAGTCCTAACTGGATCTGTCCTCAGCCGGGTCAGTAGGCTGCTGCTGCTGCTAAGCCCTTACAGTGCAGTGCCAGGCTTCATCAGGCCTTTCACATACACTGGGACACAAACCTGGGCCAAAACGTCCTGCGTGGAACAGATGGGATTTTCTGGAACATTTTTCTTGCCTCTAACGCGCAGACATGCCCAATCAAACACAGATCGACCTTTTTATAAAGCAACCATTCGATCTGACTTCTGCTACAGTTTCAGCCCAGGTGTGCTTTCTGCTTCAGTCTAGCCTCAGCTAACCTTCGTGCCTGGCAGGCCCAGGCTGTAACTACATTAGCAGCTTTTATCCAGCTGAGATTTTTAAAGCCGCAATCCTTGCAGTCTGTTTCCCCTTCATGCCACTCTGACACACTGTGACCAGGCTTAGTTGTAGTGTTTTAGACCGATCTGCTTGAAAAAACGACTAACCACTTAGAACCTATTGTTAGTTCAATTGCACTTTAATGTAAGCCTGAAGGTTGCCTGGGTCAAAAAGAAGGAATTGGCAGTGTGTCTGCCGGAGTGTATTTAGTCGTTTGGACAAGTTTAACTAGACAGACAATGAGCCAGGGCCTTTTTTACACTTTGAAACAGCGGACTGGAGATCAGAGTCTGCCCACGTAAGAGAAAATAATTATAATCCTCATTGTAAAACAGACAACAAACTCCCCTATGCTTTGTGTCTGCTGGGGCCGATCACTATCACCTAGCAGAAATAAAAACCGCAGACAAGCAAAAGTCCAACTGTTGTTCACCTGTCCGGCATTAGCAGTCTCAGGCAGTCTGCTGGCTGCAAATGACAGGAGGCCTTGGGCAGTTCACCATTAAAACACTTTAGAGGACTCCCAAACACTCAGATAGGGACAAGAGGCCTCGACAGGGGCAGACTGTGTGTGTTTGTGTTAGGGGAGAAACGAGTAAGGTATTTCGGGGGTGAGTCCAAAGCTCCAAAGGGGAACGTAAAACACCCAAACTAGTCTACGCGCACTGATAGACGGACAAGGCAGCCTACTAGTTTACAGAACATGACAGGAAAATATCTCACTACTACTCTGACGTTTTTTCCCCACTCAAGTGCTTCAGAAGAAAGACTTCACATTTTGGAAATATAATGCAGATGCAACAACCTCACCGACATGCTTTCCAATATCTACTGATTACATCAGCCTATACATTTTTTTCATCTTTTTAATAGTCTATACACGTGATACAATGCCGCGATTGGCACGTACACAATATTGCACACTACTATGAAATGTCCTACACTAGTCAGCAGCTTCCTCTCTGCCTGGGGGGGGGAAACCTGACACACCTGGACAACATAATGTGGAGAAACGGGAAAAAAGGGCAAAAAATAATGCAGAAACGTGACATATTCAGGCCCCCAAGGAGCGTTCAAGGGGCTGTAGCACCATAAAGAGATAGTATCTGCCTGGGCCCTGCACTGATAGGCCTCTCCATCCTCTGGACTGCACTCACACTGATGGCCTGCTTGGCTCTTTATCAGCATCCATCTCTGCTCTAACCAACAGATTCATTCAGCTGTTCCTCACTTTGTTTGTTTCATGGTGCATATGGTGTGCAAGACCACCCTGGTGTACTCCTGTACACACACATTTCTGCGAGAGGCCACCAGGGCAGGGGTGCCGCTAAGGATTCTGGGCTCCAGGGGGCCATGACACACTGACGACAGCACCTCATCTATCTGATTCTGCCCACACCATCTCTGGCCCCCAAACTCCCAGCATAACTCTCAGCTTACTCTCGGTGTTGCCACCTATGCACATCAGGGGCGTGAACTAACACAGCCCCGGCGAGTTTATATTCCGGCCTACATAACAGCACTCGTAAATGAAAACGTACAGCGGTCGAGGTCACGGACCATCCACGTGAGAACACGTAAACGAGTGGAGTGTATAAGGCACGGGTCGTAATGACGTCAGAGAGGACGCGTAGCCTCGCCACGCGCTGTGCTAACGCGTCTTTTTTTGCGCTCCCATAAGGTGGACCTTTATACTTTTGCACCCCCCCCCCACCCCCCAAGAGGGAAGAAAACAACAAAGTAACAAAGAAAAAACTTAACCCACAGAAAACGTGGGTGTCTCAATCAGGATTTTTTTCTTTACAGCTGATTCACAAAATCATAATTAGTACATCTAAGTTAGCACTTTTTTTCTTTTAAGTTTATATGGACATGGTGCAAGAGGGTTGAAATTCAATACAGTGGCTCACAAATGGATTTATTCCATTTTTTTGAGGCCACAAAATAGGCTTTTTATTTTTGAGTCTCAACTTTTCCAAGTCAATGGCGTGATATAAATGTTTTCATTAGCCTACTACGCTTTAGGTCAAACCAAAGACTATAGCCTACTTTGCCAAACTTCTTTTCAGAACAAGAACCTATGCACACATGCTGACATGTTAACAGGCCTGTAGTGCTGCGTTCTGCAATTCATACACTTTTAGAGCGCTTTCATATTTATTCTGCGTACCTTTATAATAAACTATACATCTGGAATCAGATTTTGGTTTCATAAAGTCCATAATATATTCTCTTTGTGCTGATGTCAAATATTCTTTCTACATGAAGACTGTCATTTTATATAATAGACCTCTGGTTTTTACCTGTGATTAAATCTTAGTATATTACCAGTTTGAAAACACTTAACATTTCTTTTTTTTCGAAATAGCTTTGATGTGTGCAAAATCTGTCGTTTGATAGAGATATAAACACTCTGTTCATTGTCATTTAAATCAAGTATAGGAAACAGTTCATATCTTACAGTTCAATCCTTGATAGCAGCGGCTTACTGTTACATGGTGGTAAGTGGGGTGACATCCAGTAAAATGAGCGAGGAGACAGCAGAGGTGCTGCCATGTCTGTGGAGGTTGTGTGTGTGGGGTGATTCCCTTGGAAATTTCTCTTTCTATTTTACAGTTAAAAGTCTCGTTTTTCTCTCAGAGTCCAGTTTGTCGTTTCACTCCGGCCCTCCTAAGATCCGCGTCAGTCATCGTCGCCGTCATCTCCGCCGAGCGGGCCCTCAGGTAGCAGTTCGGAGGCCCGTTTCTCTCTACTCCTCTCCTGGATCTTCCTCATCTCATCCGCGTATTTGCTGAAGGTGTTGCCGAATTTGGACCACACTTTGCACGGAACCGTGATGGAGTTCCGGTACGTGGGCTTCACCTCGCTGACCCTCATGAAGACCCCGTACTTATTGGAGCCCACGTCGAAGAAGAAGCGCTTGTTGTCGACCGTCAGAGAGGTGCCCTCCGGGAGCTCCGCCGGCTCCTCGTCCACACCGTAGTCGTCGATGAGTTTGGCCAAAGCGTCGCGGAACTCGATGAGACCCTGCGCCGGCAGAGCGATGGTCTGGCCTTGCGCGCTTCCCAATCCGGGCCCCCGATTAACGGTCTGCCGGATCCTTAGGAACCGCCCCCTCTGGTTCTCTTTCAGATCCATGTAATATTTCCGATTCTCCCGCACCAGGAATTCGCTCTTGAGCGCCCGCCGCGGCTCATCCTGCACTATGTCCGGGTTGCTCGGGCCCAGCTGGGCGTAATGTTCGATAAAGTCCCCGAGATAATCGCGGAACTCTACGGCCACCGACATAGAGAGAGTGAGGCGGCTCTTGTTTCCACCAGCCCCGACCTCGGCTATCTTTAGGAAGCGGCCTTTAACATTCTGCTTCACGTCAAGGTAGAAGCGCTTGTTTTGGATGTCGACGCGCTTCGAGGCGAGCTCCTCGGTGTCGTGCTGCAGCCGGGACATAGCACCCATCGCACCCGGGGGCAGCGAGCCGGGGCCCGCGGTGGGCCCTCCGTGGTCACTGCCACTGTCTCTGTCCGCCATGATGCTGCCTCCCTGCTTTACCTTCCACCGTCTCCCTCTGCCTGCTGCAACCTCGACTGCCCGTCAAACCACTCCGCCGCTCTATCGCGAGACGAGAAGAGAGAAGAGGTTGAAAAAAGGAAAGTAGCTGTGCTCGGTGCTGCTGTACTGAAAGCGGGCTGCGTTCAAGACACTCACTCTGGTTTTACAACGTTTCACACAATTTTCACTTCATCCTTCTCTTTCGCCGTATATTGCAACTGAAAGTTAACCCCCACCCATGTGAGCCTCAAACACTGCAGTACTAACATCAAACATAGATAGATAGATAGATAGATAGATAGATAGATAGATAGATAGATAGATAGATAGATAGATAGATAGATAGATGGATGGATAGATAGATGGATAGATACATTGATAATGGCTGCACATTGAAGTACATAAATAACACCTGTTTGCATCCTGTTGAAAAAGTAATGACAGGACTGGAATAACATTCCTACCTGATAATTATTGGTTTGGGTCTTTCAGCACCACGGACAGCGATCCTGGACAGTCTCTTAAGAAGGACACATAAATAGAGAGAGCCAGGGAAAAGATACATTTCTGAATGAACAGTGGATGATAGCTGTATGAGTCTGAGGGAGGGGCTGATTCACTGTGAAGCATCATGAATCATTACCCTGTAATTGGACCTGCTTGCCTGCCACTGTTTCTCAATGGCCTTGAAAGGGTTTATCAGCTTAAAAGAAGAAGCAAAACGCCAACTGTTGGATAAAAACTACTATATTGGACATACAAGATGTCATTAATATTCATTTTTAAATTCACATTAAATATACAACCAAGGCATAATATTATCTTAACAGGTTTTAGAATGATGCTGATTTAGAATGATCTTTTCATGCAATATGAGTTCAGATTAGTAACGTCTTTTTCTTTCTTTTAGCACTTGTGTATTTCCAGTGTATTCAAGTGAGAATGAATCCTGTTTATAAGGGTCATATAAAGTACCACCACAATAACAATAAAACATACCAGGCGATGTTATGAGGTGTTTAGCCTTCATGGGCCTACAAAGGAGGAGCAAGTAGAAGAATGATGTGGGTGACTTGATGTTGATATGATGACAGTTTAGTAGGATTTGAAGGCTGGGAAATAATATTGATATAGTCTGGGAAAGGAACAACAAACCAAGTGTTTTAATTGTAAATGGACCAGCCTTTTTTCTTTTTGCAGATTTCCTAAATGAAATATATATAGACAAAATCATCATCATTAATAATACAATTCACAACAAGAAGAATATCTCATACACTCATTTGAGATCTGTTGAGTTGAGCTGGTGAAAGAAGGGCTGTTGACCTGTTAGCAGATCCAGTCAGGTCCATCTTTTTTTGAGTGGATAAATCACTGGTGTCTGTCAGCACCACGGACAGCGGAGGGTGGGCATAAAAACAGATTGAATTGAGTTTGTTTTGGAGTATTGCTTACAGTGTAGGAAATGATGGAGAGATTAATGGAAAAAGGGAATCAGGGACAAGACATCCTGACAGATGCATAGTAAAGTATTTTGGATAGAAAGTGTCCCATGATATACCTCATCAACACCCTGCTGAAATGAAGGTGCATCTCCAAAAACAGCTCCTCTGATAATTCCAAGCGTATAGTACCAGGGGAAACGGCAATTGGTGGCAGTCCTCCCCCAGGGTTAGTCAGCAGGAAAGGGTTTTTCCTCCCCTTCACTTTGTCAACAAATGATTTGCTCTCAAGGCTCATTTGGAAATTCCTAAATTGTGAGTGATGTCCCTGAATCGGTTTCTCTAATGAGTACATGAGCGCTTGAATGGATGAAGGAGAGATAGATCAGTTAATGGGTGGGCAGTGGGCGGAGACGGAGAAAGGTGGGAGTGGGTCACTGAACACATCACATACTCTTCAAATGCTTTGGTAATCCCAGGACTGGAAAAGCAATCATAGGAATAAGGAACCATCACAATTTGAAGATGAACCTCCACGCTTAATAGCGTTCAGCACCTTGGACAGCAAACAGGACAGAAACGGCTTTTTACTTTATCTAAAAGACTTGACCCTTTCGAACTTCGGTTAATATTTTACAGTCAACAAACCATATTGGCCTTCAATCTCTACGAGGTGTCATGTGACTGGCTTTGTTGGGGCCAGCACTAAACATGTCAAGCCATTCAGCACCATGGGAATAGCTCGTGATGGCCCTTCTGCTTGAGAAACTGGTGTGTGAGGCCATCATGTAGGTGCATACTGTGATGAAATGGCCTCTCACATTTTCTTCATCATCTATACTAAGAAAAATGCAGCCCATGTGTCCCCTATATGACATTATATTTGATCCCTTTCTCAGCATGGACAATGAAAGGCTTTCTGACCTCTACAGAAGGGCGTGCGGCTCCTGATAGAGAGTGAAAGGAGAATCTTATGAATGGCTTGATTGATTGATACACAGATGGAAGCAGGGGCAGCCCAAGCATATTGTGTAAAGCTCGCATTTCATTGGTGGAGATGTGTTCAATGAAAAAAGTGGTTTTATTAGCTGTAGCTGAGCAGGATTGGCAACAAATTTGCGTAGAATATCTTTCCAGCATAGCACCTTTAGGTTGGGCTAACTGATGCCCCCACTTGTTGCATTACAGAGTCGTACAACTGCACAGTTTTTCATAGCATAGTGAACTGCACTGACTCGCATAGGGTGGTAAATGTCAGCTTTTGGGTGTGCTTTCCTGCAGCGTGCGTATATATGAGTGAGAACATTTAAAGCTGAAGTCTCGTAACTCGCAGCTCGGTTCGCCACGCTGAGGAATCCATTGAGAGAATTTCGCAGCGTTAGTCATCGCGACAACTATCCGCAGTGTATGTAACAGTCGCCTATAGCCTCTCTTGCACATCTCGCACTGATCCACAGTGGGAGCCGCGCAGTGCTTGGCGACAGACGCACCGTGCACCGCTTGCGTGATTTCTCCCGCACCCACCACCCGCAGAGGTTTAACTCAGGCGGCCGGCATGCTCACACGCCGGTTGGGTCGGTGGCGGTGTGCCGGTGGGTGCCCGGGTCATTAGGGTGTTTGCGCAGGACGTGGCGAGCCGACGCCAGTGACCGGGCAGGTGATGTTTGCTCACGTAAACTGCTCGCGTATGATGAGGGGCGCAGGGGACGCATCTGGAGGTTGCGCGCTACTGTTGCATCGCCTCACCGGATAACCGCTGCTATCTCATCCTGTCCGTCTCTTCCTCCCCCGGTTTTTCTGTTCTTTTATTTATTTATTGTTTTGCTTACAGGAGAGGAACTATTTTCACGAGCGTAATAAGTGGATAAGGGACCCGACCTTGCGTTTGCGTGGAGTGCGTATCGTTTCTTGTGATTCCTCTGTACGCGCAAGCTGCTTTTTTTCATACCAGAGGCAATGCGCCCACCCATGCGATGCTAGCCTATTAGCTGGAGAGAGAGTGAGAGAGAGCGAAAGAGAGAGGGAGAGAGAGAGAGATAGAAGGAGAGAGAGAGAGAGAGAGAGATAGAGAGTGAGAGAGGTTTCAGCCCTGGATTCGAGAGGAGGCTAATTTACGAGTCTTGTTTTGCCTTTCAGGAAAAGGGGAGATAAGAGGGGGAGGGTGGTTGGTGAAGGAGAATGCAGCAATCACATTTTTAAGCATGCAGAAGCGGGCCGTTTCCCGTTCCTAGGCTGGTGTGTGTGTCCCCCATCCGAGGCCAGCAGCCGTATGGGGAGAGCAGCGGCAGACACAGATGGCATGGACACTTCCACAAGGTCTGCCGCTCTGCCCTGCCTGCTCTGCCGGAGCCCGTTCGCCGCCGTCTCTCTCTTCCAGCTCGCTCCGCCGCCCAGCAGCACTGCAGCACAGCACAGGCTGACGGCATGAGGCTTGATCCAGTGCATTTCTCCATGCTGGTCATCGGGGTCTCCTTCGCCTGTTACGCCCCGAGTCTCAACTCCCTCCAGGACCAGGCGTACCGATCCGCCGTGGTCATCGAGGGCGAGGTGCGCTCCTCCCCGGAGAACGTCTCCTCCCGGGAGCCCTACAGTGTGAATGTCAAAGTGCTGGACGTGTGGCCCGTCAACAGCGGCGGCCTCGAGAGGGAGCAGCTCGTGACCGTCGGGGACTTCGGCTCCGAGGCCCCGTGTACCACGGTGGAGAAGGACCACAGATATATATTTTTCATGGACCCCACAGCCGAGCCCTTGGTATTCAAGGCATCGTACGCCCCTGTGGACGCCAGCGAGCCGGAGCTGAAGAAGGATGTGGAGCGAGTGTTGTGCGAGGACTGCGGTAAGTTTAAGGCTTTCCCCCCTCTCCACCTGCCCTACACTCACACCGCACCATAGGGCCACTGAGGCTGCCATGGCGATGTAACGAGACAGTCACCGCTCTCTGGCTGCGCGTGCACGTGTTGAGCCTATACAGTGTTTCAGCGTGCGTACACATGTGCATGCGCGTTAGCCGGTTGACACTTTTTAATCCTGCATAACCCAAACTGAAATGAGAAGCAAGACAGCGTGTGTGAGTCTGTGTGTGTGTGTGTGTGTGTGTGTGTGTGTGTGTGTGTGTGTGTGTGTGTGTGTGTGTGTGTGTGAGTTTAACCCGGGCTAAACCACAAACAGGTTCCTTCAAAAGCCCTGATGATCAGGGGAGACTAAAAGTTCAGTGTGAGATCTGCATCATCACATCATCACTGTCTGCATCATGTGTAGGCTTAAGGTTGAACAGCAGTTAGTGTGTGTGTGTGTGTGTGTGTGTGTGTGTGTGTGTGTGTGTGTGTGTGTGTGTGTGTGTGTGTGTGTCAGAGATATAGGCAGAACATGTGAGGGGAAAGTTACCTACAGTCAGTTTTACATGTCAGATCTGCTGCTGTTATATCAGACTGTGCCATTGATGACTGCAGTGATGGGTAGTGGTAACTGTTAAAATGTCACAACTTGTTGCAGGTTTCCACCATTGCCATCTAAAATGTTGCTTTAAATAATAATAATAAATAACTAATTTATATGAGAAGTGGCTAAAACTAAATGTAAAGCAGCTGGCCTGTCTGTTGAAGTTATTGTCAACAGGATGGCTTTTATGAAAAGAACAATCTGAATACAAGACAAGGAAAGAAGATTCAAGATGAGGGTTGAGCACTTTTTCTCTTTACTTTCTGACATTTCCTCCCTTGGTTTCTCTCCGTCAGAGAGGTAAAAAAAACTTGAATTGACCCTTTACTTACAAAAGGGAAAAGAAAAGTTTCAGAACTGTCTACTTAGTTCGTATAAGACATAAACGGAGCTCTAGACACTGATACTTGTACATCATTACATCTGCTAGTTACTCTCAGGTATCTTATACTTTTAACTACAGTGCAATCCTGTGACCACCTATGTGGCAAGAAGTACACTATACCTGGATTTCCCCTGCTACACAAAAGAGAGGGGAATTACATTTTAACTGTGGAAATATTGAACATTTCCCCAATACGAGCCTTAAGACCATCACTGTGGACATCATCACCTTTGTCATGGTCATTTAAATACATAAACTTTAAAACAATGCGGTTAAACATACATTCATTTGGTTCAAACAATGAATCACCGTCATTTCCATGCAAACCACTGGCACCTGTAAAGTGTTCAATCCTGACAGGAAGTAACTCAGAAGTCTCAACAAAGGGTTCATCCAGCGTTTGAGCTAACAGCGTGATGTTCTATTTTTACCTCTGTGTCATGCTAAAATTATCCAGTCATTTATTTATGACAGGGCTGTTGCAATCAGGCTTCTGTCTAAAGCCCATTTGTGCAGGCAAGGCGTAAGCTCAGGAGAGGAGATACCCACTTATGAGCTGAATCATCCCGCGCACACGCTAATACGCACACGCACACACACACACACACACACACACACACACACACACACACACACACACACACACACACACACACACACACACACACACACACACACACACACATACCGAAAGCAAGAGAAACAGGGAGAAGACTCAACCTAATTAGAGACTGCAGAGTGTGTGCTGCTGACACATAACATGCACTGTGGCAACCAGTGGCCTCTGAATGTCCACAGCGTTATAGGAACACAGCTTTTGTCGCCTCCATTTCTTTCATAGGGTTGGCTGGATTCATCTGACAAAACTTGACAAAGAAATACAAAATCTAAGGCCCAAATTAGTCACACAGTCAACCAAAAAAACGTATCACTTGCAATTGGTAGCCCTGAATGTTTCATGAAAAAAATATTTCCACTCCATTTCTTCAGAGAAAAATGCTATGATGAAGCAGTCAGGACCCAGTTCAACAGGAAACAGATATTTTAATATGGATAGCCTTTATCCATTCAATAATTGGCCATTATGATCTTAGCCAACTACTATTTCTGAAAGTTTCAGTCTTTTTTAAATGCTTTTCTCCTTCCAAGAAACATGTAGTCAACGCAAGATTTAAAGTGGCTCTTTTGTTTTATTCCTTCATATCAAGAAACCCAAAGAATCTACATTTTGTGTTAGTTGACTAAAAATATCTTTTGTTAAGGAAAACCTTATTTCATATTTCACAATTGAAATGTATCTATGTAAGATACAGAAACCTCTTGTAAATAATCCCCCTCTGCAAAATGCCAACAACAACTGCTTATTGGCCCGGCCTCCTCTCCGTTGCCACACTGACACTTTTCATTGGGCGGATGCACAAATGTCAGAGCAGCCGGCGAGTGAGCTACGACTCTTGGCCGGTGATCAGGCCGGAGACGTGCATGAGAGGATATTGGAGAAGAATTTAATTTGGACAGAAGTAACTGCAGTTTAAAGATGGAATGAGGCAAGGGGCGTGTCAGAAGACACACACCCTGAGCACAACCAATCACAAACCTGTTCTAAACACAGTCGGCAAATCTCAGCCGATCTGTTGTAATGCCCACTTCTGTACGCACCCCTATTTAACACACTTTTATCACGGTCACGCTTTCTTCTACAGTGGCTAATATCTGCTTTTTTAAAATTATATATGAAAACCTGTGCTGCTGTTTTCTTGAACAAGGGTATAACTGAGAATTGTGTTTTTACGTTTGATTTCATACAGTTTTATGGTAAAATTGTTATCCGTTATTTTGGAAACTCTTGAATGTGAGTAGTCATTAGTATGAGGTGCTTCTGTCCCCTCTCACTCACTTTGAAAACCCAGTGACATGGAGTGTTCGGTGTTAAATGCTGAATTAGGAGGGATAGAAGAGCTTGATACATCTTGGTAAGGAACAACAACATTGCAGCTGTTTTGTACTCGGTGGCAGAGGTACTAAAAGCTCAACAAACGTGTTGAATATTTGATCATGCCATGCCAGTAAAAACTCAACTCTTATATTTTTTTATATTGTGTTTATCAAGACCTATACACAAGCATTTGCTACAGCTGGAGTGCAGAACAATTACAATGTAAAGCTTACATTACATTATGACCATTTACTACGCTTTTCTGGAAGAACCTCTGGTTTCACTTGCTAGTATAACATCATTGCAGAATGCAAACAGTAATATAGGACAGCAAACGAGTGTCCATCCAAGCTACATCCCTCAGTTGACTTGCCTTTAGCACCTGTTTGACAGACTTTTCTATATGTTTTCTTGATATGTTTTGGGCTACACAAATATGTAGAAGCCACAGGATGTCAGCTCTGTTAACCTCAAAGCACACTATGATATGTTATATTTGATCATATCTGTTTAAAACAACAGGTTGTTAGGTTCATGTCTTGATATATTTGTTTACAGCAGTCAGAAGTTAGAAGACCCCCTCACTGTGAGAAATAATTGAGACAGTCATCTTTTTCCGAAGCGAGCTAATGCGTTGGTGAGTAAAGTCAGGATTCTTTTTAATCAACGTCAAATCACAATTCCATGTAGGTTTTTGCAAGACGGAGGTCATAGTGTTTAGGCGGGTCAACATACACAGGACTTTCAACCAGCTGTTCGAGTCCCTTTTGAAACCGTTAGTCAAAATGGACTTTGTTTGGTTCACGTCTTAACTTTAATAACGGAACAAATACTTTTATGTCAGGCCAACCCATGATATTTTACTAGACCTAACCAAGCAATTTTGTTGAGTTTTTGTTGGAGATTAACCGTTTAAAACTAGTCCAGGAGGAAATACGTTTCCCCCTCGAATGCGTAATTGCGAATGAATTCCATGAGTTTTAAGAACATTTAATTTTCCACTTTTTCCACTTCACCCTCAATCCAATCCTCTGACCAAAACTTAAGAGGCAAAACAGATCAGACTTTGTAGAGACGTCTGCAACATCATGCTGTGAGAGAACAGAGTACAAACTAATGTGGAATCCAAGGCTACAGTAGTTTAGAAATTGATAGGGAGTCTTTGTTCTTTCTTGAGCTACTCAAGCCATATATCTGTCTCCACTGAGCTCCACTGGCCTTTCCCTCACTCAGAAAAACATCACTGAAGTTTGGATGGCTCACACTCCCTTCTTAAAAAGTACAAAACCAGTCCTATCTTACATCCCCGGCAGTGTAAAGCGTAATGTAGGTCTCCTCTGATCACCGCCGTTGACATGCCTTTTGAGAAACATTGACAGTTTCTTCCTAAAATAGCGTTATCTGATGCTCAAACATGCTCCTGTCACTGATGCTGTATCTAGTGCTGCATACCTCAACTCCCCCCCTCTCTTTTTCTGTCTCGCTCCTCATGCTGTAGCTGACTGTAGCTGAAGTGTGTGGTTCAGCTTATTCCTGCCCTGCTGTCAGTCAGCCACAGAGGAGGAGAGAAGCAGAGAGGGAGGGAGGGAAAGTGGGGGAGAGATCTTTAGATTACAAATAGATGCCGCAATAATGCATGTGTAAGACTTCCAAAAATAGCCAGGGCCTGTTTTTCACCTCATTGACAGTAATGACACTAAGTTCAGGGCTAGTTTTATTGAGCCTGCACTTTTTAAAAAGTATAGGGGGCAACGGGGGACGTTTTACAGGGAAGTAGAGCTTGGGAATTCGGGGAGTGAAGTGAATTTACACGGGGAGCAAAATACAAAAACGTTTTATTAATAGGTCTAATGGCATGGTTCGTCAAAAGTAGGCCCGTTCAAATCAATTGTAACCAAGTATATAGATAACTTTTTTTTTTTTAAACCCTTAGACATATTTCTGCCTCTCTTTCCCATTAGTAATGTTGTTAGTTAGTTAGTTAGCGAGCTCACCAAACAGCACATTTCACACTGTACGTAGTTGAAAAATGAATCGGTTTATGTGGAAAATGAAGGGATTATTTCCACCTATAATA